CATCGCGGACGACCGTGATTCACGGTTGCCGAAGATTAATCATCGGGACTGCGATTTTCGAAACTTCGCGAGCTAGTTTGCTGCACGCCATGTATTAAATTTTCGAAATTGGATCCCCGGGGAGAGGGGAAAAAAGAAGAAACTATCTGCCGCGCGAGAGACGGGTGGTATCACGTACGCAATGTTATTCTTTCTCGTCGGGGCGGAAATTCACTCCAACATGCCTGCAACGTGTATAGAACGAAAATTTTATTTTTTATCGAGGCAGAAGCCCAATTTCTACTTGGTTTGAGAAAAGGTGGAGTGTATCGATATGGCGCCGGTAACAAAATGGAGACTGATCTGAACCGCGTGATCATTTTTAGGGACAGTCATTAACGCGACGAGAGGATTTCTGCGAAGCAAAGTTCAGAGTATAAAAATACTGCTGCCTCCCCCCCTCTCTCTCTCTCTCTCTCTCTCTCTCTCTCTTTTTCTCTCTCTCTCACACACACACACACACACACATCGGGATAACGGTACAACTTCCACGAATCTGCGCAGGCACAATGTTCGGCCGTCGTTGAAAAAATCATCAATGAAACGCGAAACCTATGGAAGAATCCCTGCTCGCGTACCTGCGAAAGGGATTGCACCGGCTCGCTATTCACGCTCTCGCGTTGTCCCTTTTTTTTTTTCAAAAGTATGTCAAATAGGCAGACGGCGCGTCACAGAGGCTCTCGTTTTTTTCAAAACGCTTTTCAGCGCGATTCGCGGCTGTCGCGCGCCGTTTACCTCCGGGCGGGCGACAGAGGGAAGATCACGCGAGGCACGGGGGACAAGGCGCGCACGACGGGACGACAAGGGCGATCCGCAGTTTGCCCGCTACCCTTCAGGACACATAATGCACCGCGGGTAGCCCAAGGGAAATTTAGCGGACGCCGTGAAAACCGTTGTTTTGTACGCTTATACCGGCGTACACGCGAGACCGGATCCTACGTATACGTAGATACGACGTTACGGTATAGGACAGGCGGGGGTAGTAAGAGGTAGGGGAAGTAAAAAGCATTCCCGCGCGTTCCCGGCGCCGGATAACGCCGTTAACGTTAACTCTATGAGCTACGGGGACGCGAGAAAAATGGAAGAGCACGCGGTAAAGATGTCTGTGAGGCGCGCGCGGCTCCCCTTCTCCGAGTATAAATGTATAATGCGCGAAAAAAAAAGGGTAGCACGCGAGCGCGGCGGAGTGGTGCCACTTCGGTTGCCTGCAAATTTAATTAACGTTTCCGCCGGATGCATTGACCCCGACGCAACGGGATTACTTTCGCCTAATCATCCGGAAGAGACGGGTTTATATACGCGCCTGCGTGTATCTCGCGTAGATACCCTCGCGAGATTGGTTAACAGAAATTTTGAGTCCGCATGATTTAATCAAGAAAATCAACGCGCTCTCCCGGCATGTAAAATCCTATTGCGACGAATATCCCGGTGTGTGTACTTTATATCGCGAATACGCCAAAGGGATTGGCGTCTATCGGCGCGCGCGCGCCGGCTTAAAATCCATAGAGTGAAATTTCAATGCACTTTTTCTCTAGGCCGGATTCTCTGCCCCGGATTCGAAACTAGGAAGAATCCCATATGGTGTGACTGCAGGTAGTTTCAATGCTGTGTGTGTTGGTTTAAGCTACGCGATTTATTTGCAGTTGGACTCGCTGGAACGTTTCGGTTTACATTTGTAAAGGATTCATATGTAACCGGCGTGTTCCATTGGTCTTCTTGTTTTGGCTATGAAACTATTATTTTATTAATCATGACCGCGACGCTGTGATATATTTTGTGAGGAGTAATTACATTATTATTTGCTTAATACTATTTCTTTGAAACTTTTCTGTACACGTAAATTATAATGTGTAAACTTTTCTTTTGGTGGGAAAATTTTGATTGTAATATTAATTTTATTCTGTTTCCTTGAAATTTCAATTAAAATGTTTTCGCTCTCCAAATTGACTGTTACAGCGTACATCGTGTAATTGCATATGTTAGTGTTTTTTCATTTTTCAAACACACGTGAAATTGTATGTTTCGTGGACATATTGTGGAGGAAGAATTGCAGAAGATCTGATTAAAAGTAGAACTTTGAAAAGTCGGGACATTATCAAATCGACGAGGCGCGTTAAAATTAATACACATCAAGTGACCCGAAATTTTGATAGTCAAATTTAATTAACTGTTATCAGTCTACGTCAATGATATGCAAAAGGTACATTATCATAATGAAAATGCGTAACAGTGAACGACGTAATTACAAAATGTCTACCTTCCCTTCTCTCGCAACTATAGATATAATTGATTAAACATTAATTAAAGCCAATGCGCTGCTCTCTAGTAACTTTGGCCAATCTCGCGTCTAAATTCAAACATATCGTCGTCAGCCCCGTAGGATATTCGAATAAACGGTGAAACAGACACCGAGCCTTTCCATTTGTTCATCCGCGTAAACTCGTTTCTCTGTTCCGTGAGACTGAAGCGACCAGCTCTTGGACGGTAAATTAGGGACTGCATAATATATTCCCTCCTGTGACGGCGGCACAGAGTGAAAATTCTGCTTAAAAATTCAAAACTTGGAACGAGAGACCTAATATGCGCGCCGTGCGAACTATCGCTCATGGGGCTGAAAATGTAAGGAAGAGAAATGACTCTTATGACAGAAACTCAGAAATTGGACGAGGTAAGATAAAGGTTTCGCCAAGTTTGATAATGGAATGCCCGCCACTTTTGTTTCGCATATCGCATTGTTCCCTGCAAATGAGGGAAGAGCTGTAACATTTTCGAGAATACACAACGAAAATACGAAAAGTTATTTTGCGCTTTTAAGATATAAAAGAACTGTTTCCCATTTTATCTCCGCAAGATATTTTCGGTTGAAAATTTTCAATTATTCATTTTTTTTCTATGAAGTATTAATTTCCGTCCACATACTTCTTATAACCTTTAGAAAATAGTAGAAGATTTATGACTCAGACGGGAGATATCACGTAATTAATTGCCAATGTTTTACAATGTGGGAAATATAAAATCGATCCTCGGGGCATATTTTAGATAAATAGAAATATATTAATTTCTCAGCAATTCGTGCAACTACTATTTGAAAAAAATGTTCGGTACTATTTTGAGAACGATATCCATGAAAATCGTACAGCAGTATTTTACAAAATCAACAGCTCTCCAAAAAAAAAGTGAATCAGTAATAACCGATCGGGCCCGCCGCTGCTTATTCTATTCATCCTCTCCGTCTCGCATTCAAACGAAACTTTAAAATAAGTTTGATCAATCATAGAACGTTCGGGGATCTCAGCAAATCGCTTTGTTTGACGTTCAATTCGAAAACTGAGAGCCGAGGAATTTGAAAAAATGCAATTCGTCAGAGGGAAAAAGAGAGGGGGAGGAGCACGTACGAATCCGCGTTTGCTCCACAGTCGACAGACTGGAAAGGAAATCCATTCGCTATTCGCTCAGTTTTAATACGCTCGGACAACCGGCATATATACATCCGTTTCCGTTTTCCGGCGCGCCGGCCGGCCAGTCGGCCGCGTTGTCCTCCCTGGCATCCTCTTCCATCGCCCGCCATCTCCTCCGCAAATATTCTCGCCGATCCTTCAATACCTGACCCAGACCAAATGCCCAGGATGCTGTCCAGTGGAAACGGCGTTTTCTGGAGCGCGAAATTGTGACGTGACCTTTCTCCGTTCTGCATAACGCCGATATCTTCGCCCGGTTTCCTTTTTTTCCGCATTTCATCTCGGAAGCATTCAATCGTCCATCTTGAAGGGATAGGCCAAATGTTATCACGGATTTCGTCGGGTTTAACGTATGAACCGCTGAATTACCTCTCGCCAACGCTTGCCGTTATTATTTCGCGCATCGTGAAAATAAAATTGTCCCACATTTGGAGTCTATTAGAATTAATAAATTAATTTATTTGAACCGTTGTTTACATCTCCGATGTTCAATTTGCTAAATAGCGGAATAACTATAGCAATTTCATGTCTAACAAGTCGATAACAGCGCTAGTTATGAAAATTATATTTTAATTGTCAAGAGCATCATATTATACAAATTCTTAACCAAATCGATCGACTTTCTAAAATTCTAGGATATATATCTTCGCGGTAGATCGCGTAATGCGAAGGCATTAGGGCGAAAGGATAATTTAGAAAATGATTGGAATTAAAATGTCAAGTGTACGCTGTGTGTACGGTAACAATAAACGCGGCCGTTTCTTGGTAAAGAACGGATTCTCTGTGAAACGCCATCACCTTTCGTGTCGTACCTGCGTCAGTCAACCCTGTTATTTGTAAGTAAAACGGATTTCCTACGTCGCGGAAATGACCACTAAAAGTTATCGGTAGCGCGATATAAGGGTAGTAATAACGCGGATCTTATTGAACGTGAAGCCCGTTGTGTCACGATGACGCGATTACTCGGCATCAAATTAGCAATTGCGCGTGTCGGCGAAAGAAAATCTTTTCTTTTTATTCCCGCGCGCGTTTAAAGCATTTTTCAATAAATTAAATAAATCTAAAATCTGTCTCTTGCTTTTTCCTCTTGTGCGTGAGCACTAGGGACGTTTGTACTAAATTTTTAATTAATATTACGGGCGCGCTCTACAGAATGGGGGCGATATAGAATTGTCGAGAGAGAAATTTGCGAGATGCAATTTTTGACTGTTTGATAGAAAGCAACAGTGTGAAATTTTACATAAAATGTAACTTGAACGAAGTCACACTTTGATGACCCATAATCTGAGGGTGCAGTTATTACTTCTTTACAAGGTATTTAAATCAAGACATAGCGGAGAAAGGTTCGAGAAGTGTGTTAACGAGTGCATTAATAGTACGCGTTTACGAAAGCAGTTGTTTTAAACAACTGCGAAGGTTCTATCCCGCAAAATTTCTCCGGTCGATTGAGATCGACGGAAGATGCTGGTGGCAACTATCCAATCAGTATATTTCGTGTTCTAGGGCCGCCATCGCCTGCAACAGCGGTCCTCGGTGGAACGGCCGAGCTGCCGTGCGACATTCGTCCACCTCATTCCAACGATTCCGCTATCTTGGTCGTCTGGTACAAGAGTGACATCGTTCCGATTTACAGGTAAGCTCTTAACACCTGCTTTTTACGGGTCTTAGGCAAAACCCCGGGGTGTTAACGTACGTCGCATGCGAGAAGTCGTTGAATGAAAGGGATACGTATGAGGCCGTGTTTTTGTATGCCTGACATTTTCTAATCTACTCCGATAGATATACTGTATATAACGCTGTAATAACACTCTTGGCGATTAATATCGTCTTAAAAGATTCCTCCGATGGACACTTTTCAGATTTTGGTAATCAAATGTAATATGATATTTAAGGTAACAGCATTAACTTGTTCTCTCGGACTTGAACGCCTGAAATAACATTAGTCTCCGATAATTCAATTACGTTCAGGATTAAATGAAAGATTTAGTTTCGCACGTTTTCAAAATGTAAAGCTGTACTTACATTTAATGTTGTATCTTTAGTTACATTACTCGTTGAATTTTACTTAAATAATAGATGTATAAGAATTAATGAGAGAGAGAGAGAGGGGGGCGGGGAAGAGGAGGCTCCAATGTTTTATTCAGTAGTATAATGATTAATTATTTCTTTCCATCGACTCATTCGTCTACTTTTATCACTTATCTTTTTTCCTCCCGTATCGGGGTTAGATTACCATTAGCAGGATCGTATAAAAAGTCGGTATTCTAAATATACGACGCGTTTCTTAAGCGAGCGAAGGGAATGGCATTACGTAATTGTCGAATGTCATAACGAGCCGGAGACGTGCCACAGAGTCGCTGTATTTTATTGCACGGTGGATAATTATTTCTTCCCGCCGGCTCATTCGCCTACCTTTATCACTTATCTCCTCGTTCCGTATCGGAGTTAACTTACCATTGCGGTGCGGTCGTATAAAAAGCGAGCACCCTGGATATACAACGTGACCTGCGCTCGTTAAATGTCACGATAAGGGCGACGATAGGAAGAAGTCCCGGGCGAGGTTGGTCCACGTAAGCGATATTCACGCGTGCGGCCACTACACTCGCGTGTAAGCGAAGCAGAGCCCGGGGTCCGCTTTCGTGTGCGGGCTAGACGTCGATTTTTCGATGGCAGCACCCGATACCGGCGCGGCCAGCCAGCCAGCCGCTTTGCGAAAATGTGAGCTCGCCCAAGCACGAATCCGGCGGGGCAAAAAAATATACAAACTAGGGGTGGCTAAGGATGACTTTCATATTTACGGCCCCTCTACAAACATTCCGCCGGTCGAATAATCGTCGTGGACGTATTATACGAGGGTGTATCCGAATAGACTGACTAATGAAATTTAAATTGTAGGCCCGTCGTTGTTAGAAATCGCTAAAGAATGCTTCTCGTTTAGTTCTGCTCGTGTACGTGTCTGTTGGGAAAAAATATAGAGAGTCGGGTAACTCGCGTGTATCTTAAGATCCAAAGTCGCGTGTGTCTAAAGTTTTAATACACATCGATACATGTAGGCTTATTAATTTTTTACTATACCGTATATATTACAGAGGAAAGCGTACAGGGGAAAAATGGAATATGTTTCTGTTAACTTTTTTGATTATTCTCCCTTGGGGCTCGTAAAAATAATTAGCGTTAGTACCCCATCATCCTAATGGCAAAGTAAATGCCTCGCAATCGCATGAAAATGCAATTAAACGCAGTTCCGCGAAATATAATCAAGCATCTCAAACATCAACTCCGGCATCGGTGTAATTAACTCTACGTTAGCATAAAACAAATAGTAACTGAGTTACGAATCGGTTATACTGGGACTTCCTAAACTTTCCCTGAGTCGATTACGAAAGCTTCGAATCTAAATGTCTCCTGCGTCTTTGATATTATAAACTGAACCCAAACATAAATATATAATGGAGTAAATATAAAGTGGATGTTCGGAAATGCGCGCTACTCTCCAAGACAACTCTCGAGTGGTAGTTCGAGGGCCATTTCGTTACACGAAAATGTTGCAAATATTATTCTTCGATCGCTCGAGGAAAAGCACTCGTACGAAAGCCGGGCTACTAAAAGATTGCCTCGTTGGTACAGCGGAGCTGGATAATATCGTCGGATCACGAGTCACCATTCGCCACGTGGAATTGAAAGTCCGAATGAAAAAGCGATGGACTGTTTGTTACATTTTCCCCGATACGTCAACCGCAATCAAATCGGCAGGCGTACTCACTCGTCAGATAGATTTCTCTATTCCGTTGTCGGCACGCAATTCGCTGTCTGTCGCTCATGCAAAGTTGCCGACAAGACGAACGCGCACCACTGTCAGATCCATTCATTCTCGCGCGCCGCTTTCTTATACTTTTCGTACTTAAAATATAAAAGTACGAATTCCAATATCAGGGACGAAATCTGTGTTTTTTTTTATTTAAAAATTTAATCAAATTGAACTAATATAAGCTTGACAAAATTAAAATGTTTCACCTCGTCCAAGCGCTTGTACATTTTAAGGCGCGCGGATTTTAAATTTAGAACGCAAAATATTGCTGCACATTTAAATTTCAAAGCGGCAGAGATGAATGGAGATAGCTGTTAGAGAGAGCACGCGTATTTAAGGGGAGGAAAGATTAATCCTGTAATGCGAAAGTTAAACTTGTCAATTTGATTACGAATTTTTGAATGGAATCTCTGATAGGTGTAACAGGGTAAGGAGCTTTAACTGTGAAGTTTAGCTCGCGAATCGTCATGACGGAAACCACGAGTGGAAGCTGTAAATACCAGGTTCCACGTATACATCCGCAGATTAGTCGGTAGGGCATATACATACAAATTAGATCTTGGAATCTACTGTTTACAGTGTCAAGAGTGGTTGACTCTCTGCTCGGGTAACTGTTTTCAAACCAACAATTAGAGTCCATAGTTGCAGTTGCTTGTTCTAGATTCAATGTCGCTTCGTTGCACGACAGAGTTTTGCACTTTCTGTTTGTCGTGTCTAAGCCTGAAAGGGGTCGCGGAGCGTCATGTCAAGCTACGACATAAGTGTACACACATGACCGAGCGCCGAGTGTTGTGCCGGTTAAGCGGCCATCATCCTCGCGCGCGGCGGCCGCTTATCAATTTATAGGCCATTGAAGGACGCCGCGATCTTAATCAAATTAATCGCGTTTCGAGGTGCCGGAGAGATCGGCCGGGTCGCTCTTTTCATTACGGTAATGCGGATGTCGCTATCAACTAATGGAAAACGCCCCGGGACAGCCAGCGGTGGGAATTACAATGCGCATAAAGCGTAAGTAAACATCGATGTACTTCCGCCGTTAACTCCAGCGACAATCGTAAACCGTTCATATCCGTCTGCACATCGCCGCGCGGCTGTGCGCTGATGCCCTTGATGAATTCTATCGAGCCACTTGCCTCGAGTATGTCGTCTCCTGCGGAATTGCTTCGCTAAAGCGCAGCCGTGAGATAATGGAGTCGCATGCTACGGAACCCGTAAAAGGGAAAGAGGTAGGACGCGAGAGGAGAGAAGTGTGTACAAGGGCCGAGGGGCGGTAGGGCGCGCGGGACGCTTCGCGAGATAATGGTGTATCGCGCCGGTGGCGCGATTTAAGGGAAGCCGCTTTGTCAAAACGCCGGTCATTTTTCACGGTCGCGGTATGTACGTTATTCGTCACGTAACCGATTTTCTGTCTAACAGCTTTCGCCCGGCATTGAAAACGTCACGAGGATCCGCCTCGTAAATCACGTTAGATTGTAAAATTGACGCAAGTCGATAAATATATATCCGGACGATGACATTGTACGTCTCCGTGTGTCGTATCGATTCGCGCCGTCCAAAGGGAAGAAGCTCGGAGCGCTTTGTGAAAAGGGATCGTTATGTTCGTCGCGCGTCTAACTGAACGTAAATACCGCTGTAAGTTCTATATGCTAATCTCCCGCTGACGTGAAACTCGCACGCTCGAAAAATAAAAATCGGAATAACGTTCCGCGTTAAACGCCGATATGGAACGTAAAAACTTGGATAGATATTTCTTATTTATTCATCGATTGACGCGCGCGCGCGAGAGAGAGAGAGGGGGGATCGTGGGGGGAAAACACGGGAGAGTAAAATTTCAGCTAGATTTTAACTAGATTTTAACTAGATGTTAACTGGAATAGCAAACGAGCGTGTCAACGGGTAATATCTTCCTGCCTCGGTTAATGTATTTCAGTCTCGAAAATTGCTCTGTATTAGCTATTATCGGCTTTATTCATGGATACGTAATTTGCCAGTCACTTTACTTCAGACATGCCGACAAATCGATACTCCGATAAGGACCGCCAGATAAGTTTAATTAAAACGATATTAACGGAAAGTCGATACAACTGTGCACCGTTCCGCGAGCATAAACATTAATCTTCAAAATCTCGATACCGCGCTTTTATATTGTTCGACAAATCGAACGCGGGGGGGCGACGAGCGCTGCTACGAGTGAATTGTTATCAATCGAAGATACGTGGCATACGCGATGTTTGATGAATATTAGATGCGATAAATCACAATACGAGCGCCGCTATCGTGGAAATTATGTCGTTTGATAATTTCGCTCCCCTCGTCCCGCGACCACCATTTAACGATGTCAAAAGGCTTGAAATCCGTTCGCCATAAAGTTGGCTTACATCGGCCGACCACATTACGCGTTATATTTGCATTACGCGACCGCGCAATTCTGTTTTGCAGCCCACAAACTTTTAAGTACCTTGTTACAACGCCGCTTTGGCCAAGTCAATATATATTTCAACGTTATTTTAATGTTATTAAAATGCCTGGGAACCGCGAGAGCCATGGAGTCTCTGAAAACTTTGATCTTTTATATGAATACTTTACTCTATCTGATTAAAATCTTTTCGTTGCAAAATATAATTTCGAACTTTCAACTTCTCTGGTCGCAGAATCAATATTAAGGTATAATGAATCAAGAAGGGAGTATTATGCTTATCGGTTCGCCGAAACGTTGAGATTTGCCGGTTGGACAATTATCTTACAATTCCCATAAATATCTTATTTCTGCGGTGCACTTAGCGCAAACATGTGTTGTATCTCAATTTCTGATATTGCAACCTCAT